TCCCAGGGCTAGGGTCACCTCTCTTCGCTCCCAGAGTTCGTTGCCAAGGGCGGAGGGACTGGAATCTTCAAAGTCCCGGTTCGGGGGCCGGTCCACCCGAGCCGCCCGCCGAGGCTGGAAGTGAGGCCCCACCCACTGAGGGAGACTCAGATAGGGTGCTTCTTGCGGACGATGGCGACCACCGACTCCCAATTGTGGGCGGGGACGGAGTGCGCCGTTAGGGTTTGGAATTTCAAGGATCTGTACTCTGCGGCAGGCCAAGGCGATTCAGGGGATGAGGAAACGGTGCCGTTTAGGGAGTCGGTGTGCACATCGGCCGTGATATGCTTGGTTAAAGATGAGGGGAGTAGGGTGGTGTGGAGCGGGCATAGGGATGGTAGAATCAGGTGTTGGAAGATGGAATCGGCTACTCCTATTCCTGCCAATCCGTTTAAGGAGGGCTTGTCTTGGCAGGCTCACAGAGGCCCCGTTCTTTCACTTGTAATCTCTTGTTATGGTATGGTAAATCTATCTACCACCAGTCTCACCTTCTTCAATATCAATACCATATACTTACATTGTTTGACTTTGACTTTGATCCAGGGGATCTGTGGTCGGGTTCAGAGGGTGGTGTCATCAAGATATGGCCATGGGAAGCTATTGAAAAAGCTCTCTCCCTAACCACCGAAGAAAGGCACATGTCTTCTTTGTTGGTGGAGAGGTCTTACATTGAACCTTGGACCCAAGTTGCCGTTAATGGTTTCACTAACATATTAACTTCAGATGTTCGCTACTTATTATCTGATCATTCCGGAGCAAAGGTGTGGAGTGCTGGTTATCTCTCATTCGCATTGTGGTACGTCTGCCCTTTCAATATCTAAGTTTCGAGGATAACAGGCTAGCTACCATTGCTGCAGCCGCCGCTGCACATGTATTTGTGTGTTTATTTTTTCCCTCATAAAACTAACTGATTTGAATTCAGCCATCTATATGGGTTGTGCATAATGTGAAGGAGTTTTATATTAGCATATGGTTTTTAAAGATTTTGTTTATGAAATGATGGTATGTAACAATAACGTATTGGATTGGCTATGCCATTGAATTTACAACCCCCCTCTCCCCTCTAAAGCCAGTGTGGTTCGTACTTCATGGTCTTGCCATATGTGAATGAGTACTTTTAGTCCTTATTAACTATGTGGTTTATACCATTCTCATCGACTCATCTATGAGTATTTTCATTTTTATAGAGTAAGATGTAGGCCTGTGCAGATTTAAGTGAAGGTAGACTGATGTCATGGATTTAAGTTATGCTAGTAGTTTTCATATGACAGGGATGCTCGTACAAGGGAGTTGCTGAAAGTGTTCAGCACAGATGGTCAGATTGAGAATCGGGTCGACATTCCATCAGCACAGGACCCCTCAGGGGAATATGTTTCTGGATCAAAAAAAGACAAAACACAAAGTTCTTTTGGTTTCTTTCAGCGATCACGTAATGCTATAATGGGAGCAGCAGATGCTGTTCGTCGAGTTGCAGTGAAGGGTGCCTTTGGAGATGATAATCGAAGAACTGAAGCAATGGTAATTGCAGTGGATGGAATGATTTGGACTGGGTGTACAAGTGGCCTACTTGTACAGTGGGATAGAAATGGCAATCGTATACAAGATTACCACTATCATTCTTCTGCTGTTCATTGCTTTTGTACATTTGGGCTACGTATATGGGTGGGTTATGCGAGTGGGACTGTCAACGTATTGGACCTTGAGGGTAATCTGCTCAGAGGATGGGTAGCTCACAGCAGTCCTGTTATAAAAATGGCTGCAGGAGCTGGCTTTATATTTACCTTGGCTAATCATGGCGGTATATGTGGATGGAATATTACATCCCCAGGACCTCTTGACAGTATATTGTGGTCAGAATTAGCTGGCAAAGAATTTCTATATACAAAGATAGAAAGCTTGAAAATATTGACTGGTACATGGAACGTTGGACAAGGAAGAGCATCCCATGACTCACTTATATCCTGGCTGGGCTCTGTGGCTTCTACTGTTGGAGTTATTGTTGTCGGGTTGCAAGAAGTTGAAATGGGCGCTGGTTTTCTTGCTATGTCTGCAGCCAAAGAAACTGTGAGTTTTTTGTTTTTGTTTTTTAAAATAAAATTTTTAATGTATTTCTTGCTAGTAAGTTGATATAATTGCTGCCTGGTACTTAAGGAGAAAAGTTTGATACAAGAAAATTTTGAACTATGTAAAAAAGAAAAAGGAATGTCCCTCACTTCAGCAGTTACTGTGGTCCACAATGATGCCCAAAACCTCATTCTATAAAGGTGGCATCTCCGTAGTCTTATCTTTTAAAATTCTGTCATTCCTTTCTAACCACCCAAAAGACAGCCAACACAACATTTCCATAGAACTTTTTCCCTAAAACTTCATCCAGAAGTGTAATGATTCTCAATCAACAATGATACAAAAGAGAATGGAAAATCCAACTCACTCTTGGTATTCCAAAGAGCGTATGTTATGTTATAACCTGAAGCGTGGAAACACTTATTTTAAACACTCACACCTTTTGTTTTGGGAGGTTGTGAAACTTCTAGCCTTTGGCTTCCAAAAAAGATATATCTTTTTTCCCACCAAACTGCTTTTGTTTTTTGTTTTTGAAGAGACAAACTATTATAATTCAAGAAACTAAATAAAAAGAGTGGATAAGCGCATCACCCCAAATGCCATGTTTTGTTTAGAGGCATGGGCCACTGTTGAAGTGCCTGTGGGACAGCATTCTGTATCTTCTACCAAGCAACAGGTCACATATAAGGTTTTGGCTTTTTAATAAGGTGTGTAAGTCTACCTGGCCCAAATAGGATATCTTTACTTAACCACAATCGTTTTTTGAATGAAAGCAATGAACGATAGTAACTTTATATTTGCTCACATGTTAGTCCCATCATATGTAGAATTAACTGGATCACCTCTTCATCCTGGTTATCTTTCATCTGTAGGTAGGTCTTGAGGGGAGCTCTGTTGGGCAGTGGTGGCTGGATATGATTGGAAAAACGTTGGATGAAGGGTCAACATTTGAACGTGTTGGTTCCAGGCAGTTGGCAGGATTGCTCATTGCTGTGTGGTGAGTATCTTTATTGGGAATCTCCCGAATGTGTTGGTTGCTTATTTTCTTTATTAATAATAGTGTTTGTATTATCCTTTTTTATATGGATTTTACCTTTTTGAGTCTCTCATTATGACTTTTCAATTTTTGTCTTTCAGGGTGAGAAACAATATTAGGACTCATGTTGGGGATGTCGATGCTGCAGCAGTGCCATGTGGTTTTGGGCGTGCCATTGGTAACAAGGTAAGGCTGCTTGTGTTATGTAGGTTTTGTACTGTATGATAGTTAGAAATTGAGTTTGTGTAGCGATCATTCGCGTAAAAGTTACTAAAAAAACAAAGGGGAAAAAGAAAAAGAAACATGAAATATATTAAGATAAGGATCATGTTTAGTGTTTTGTTTGTGGGCGAATTGTAATAACTGTTGGCCCAGTAGCTATTTTGAGGTCAAAGTTCTTTTTGGTCGAATTAGATCAAATCTACAATATCTGGTGGAAAATTAGCATTAGTATTGGTTATACATGACATATGAGATTTAATATTTTCCTGCATATCCTATCAAAAAGTTTTTATTTTACTT